TGCGCGAATGGGTCAGAGTGGTGAGGTGACAGGTGCGGTAAGTGCGCATATGATCATACGACTGGTTGCCTTGTCCTAGTGCGTGTCGGCTTCGCATAACTGGTAAGCATTGTCACGGTGTGCGTGCATGTGTGTTGTGTCACATAACTGAATCAACGAATATGAACACGTGTGGGTAGGATCGGCAGATGTGTGTGGAGGGTATGATAGCGCCTGATCGGGAAGCATGTCGGCCGCTGACTGACCACAGGACCACATCATAAATCTTTGAGTTTAAAAATACTGATGTTCATTTCCGTCGAATTATGTTGCATTTCTCCGGTTTATTCTTTGTGTCCCCACAGTGGTCATTACTTGTACGCTCAGTCTGCTTGCTAACCGCGAGTTTGTGAAAAATGTCCGCTGTTATGTTATGTTATTTGTCGATTTTCTTCTCACAGCAATACTTTATCGAACGGATTCACTGCGTTGTCTCCTAGGTGTAAGGTTCTGTCTCTGCGACACAGGGGAGATTTTCGTATTTCCTCGGAAATGAACAACTGCCACAGGCCGCAAGTGAGAAGGACCTGGGCATGATCGTTCAAGAAAACTCACTCAACTGCACCAAGGTGTCCAACGCAGTTGTAAAGAATGTCGGTTTGCTTAAGCGGGCCTTTGGCCGGTTTGAGTCAGTGCTTTTCCCCCGTCTACTATCAGCATTTTTTCGCCCACTCACAGAGTATACTATTCAGGCATGGAATCCATAGCTACAATGTGATTGCAAAGTTCCGGAGCGTCCACAAAATATGGCCACCAAAATGGTCAGGTGGTTGAATCGGTGTTTGTACGCAGAGAGATTAAAGTCACTGGGGTTATATTCCAATCACTACCGGCGCATCAGAGCAGATATGATTATAGTATACCAAATAATGCAAAACCCAGACCATCCGTGTTGCCCGCTTTTGAAATTATCGCCCAACGTTCATCTTAGAAGACGTCCATTCAAACTAGTGGTCTCAAAATGTTGCTTGGAATGCTGGCGTCAGTCATATGCAGAGTGCGTTCGATCTGGAACTCTTTCCCATCCCACGTCGTCTGTGCTCCAAGCATTGAATCTTTCAAACTGAGACTAGATGAAACATTAGAACACCTTACATTCCAACATAAGTGAAGCTGCGTGCAGCAGTGGAAGAAGCATTTATGACGTGACATTTTATACAAGGAATTGTATTTATCACTGTTTTTTAACCACCACATGAACCTACGGGACGAGAAAAGCATGAGCTTGTAAGTTATTCCCATTATAAATCTTTGATCTTTGTTAACTTCTATGGGTTGATCGAGGAATAGGTGGGAAACAGCTAATGTATGACGGGTTGTGGTACCTAGGTGATTAATGAAAAGCAGCCCATTCACTTAAGTTCACCTCAATAACTCCTCTCCATGCCGCCGAAAAAAGGTTACTATTCCAATAGGCCTATGATCCACGTAATGAAAAGGCACAAAACCCATCTCTGGTGCTAGTTGCTGTGGCAAACTCTGGTGACTGAGCTATAGCCAGTGTCCGAACTACAATGACCAGTTGGGCTCCAGCCGTAGTGCGCACAAAATAGTGAGCTGTCTCGCGCAAATCCCACGGCTTCACCGACCCATCGAATGGACATCCGTCCGCGAGCTCTGTGAAATTCAAAACTGACTTCGGCCTCATTTCAACACAGAAGGCACGTGGGAAGTCAGGTTATCAATCCGGGTGTAGAAAAGAGTGACCAATTGTCCAATAAAGTGCGCGGAGCGGAAGCGGATGCAACCACAATGTTCCTTTCTCAATTAAAAGTGAATGTTTCACAAATCAATGTGATTGTTTCTCAAAACAATCTTAAAGTAGATTATTCACATTGCCTATTTACAACGTTCATCGTCAATCCGCTCTCCTATCGCTCCCTAGTTAAGCATTCACGTATAACACTTTCAAGGTCAAACTGGTCTAGTGGTCGACCTCACCAACGGTATCCGACATCATTATTTTGGCATCATAGCAACAATTGGATGGTCCTAATACGAGAACAATTGATTGCCTCTAAATATGTGTTCTCATGTTGCAATGAGCATATTGTTGAATCTGTGACGGAGAGATGTGCTTTGAAGAGCGCGCGATGAGTGTATCTGGTTCTGACGCTTAAGGCGCTGGGCTGTTTACTCCCGTTGAAACACAGAAGACAAATGGCAGATAGGCTTCCGTTATCCAAGTTACCTGGTTGCGACGCCAACATATGTGGAAATACTGGTATTATGGTCAAACGAAGACCATGTTTTCCCTGAAAATTCACAGGAGCACACCAGGAAAGAAAGTGATCACGACAGAACGCGTTGTAGACAATTTTCTCATGCAAAATTGATGAGTTGTTTAATTTTTGATAGATCGAGTTTAAGCAAAACGATTTGTGTATATCGGACCGAAGTTTCTATTCTGCACCTTGAAGACAACTTTTCAGAAGTTTTGTCCGTGTGTGAAGCAATGTTATGATTCCAAATTAATTTTCAGTGCGAATTTACTAATCCCACAGAGCACATTTCAAACCAAAACAACAGAGTGGCGAACAAGCTCGTTTTCAGAGATTCGTATTCATGCCAATACATCTCAATATATATCACTACTTGGGAATAAAATTGTCATGGGAAAATAAAATAAAATAAAAACAGATTACTA